TGAGGGGACGGGGGGTGTGGTTTGGGCGCGACTTGGCGCAAAAGGAGTTAGTGTGTAGTATGGGTGTAAGAGGGGTGCAGCTGCCCCGCCGTTTATGGTGAATGCAAGTCGTCACGACTATCGGACCCTTTGGGGGATGTACAGGGTCCTTTGCGGCGGCCAGGCGTCTGCAAGCGCATGCTTGGCGGGCGTGTGGCACATGGAAAGGCATGGGCTTGACGTTTGGCAGTGCCAGCGGGCGCAGATGTTGATTGGCTGGTGTCTTGCTAGACTCGACGTCCATGACGCTTGCAAGCCCGTCGTCGCTGCTTGTAGACATTGTCGACAAAACTTATGCGGCCCCAAGAGTGGATAGGCCAATGTGCTCCGGCAATGCCTCCATTCATGTCTGTTCAGCGCGGGTCGCGCGGCCGAGATGGACATGACATGGCAGTGCTGGTGCTGCTGGAAGTTGAGCTGGCTGGAGCTGGACTTGGAATTGCTTGGTGGCTGCTGACAAACAGGACAGGACAGGACAGGACAGGCCAATATAGCCCGACATGCTACTATTCCATCTTCCCGGACACAGGGCCACGGGAGGGCAAATGAGCCGCGGCACGGTGGTTTGCTGCGGTCGGTCGGGATACTCTACTTACACGAGTCGGGGTGCAGGTGGCGTGCAAAACAAGCAAGTCGTCAGTCGTCTTCGTTTGATGCATTCTGCAGTTGGACCGTGCAATTTTTATACCAAGCGGGCCCCGGATTGGCCTAGCCCTGCGCCCGATGACGGCCTGTCTCTCGATCCGAGAACCCCAGAGCTGACACAGAAATCGGCCGCCAGCCTCTCTCGACCTGATACGAGCCCGGCGCGCGAGCAACATCGCCGATCTTTTTGCAAACTATCCGTCGCAGCATGGATGACCAGTGCAACTCGACCCCATTTGAACATGGCCCTCTGCTCTTCCCTTTGCCGCTCCTACTACTACCCTCACGCTCCCTCGCTGCGTCGCGACTCTTGCTCGCACCCTCCCCCACGCCACGCAGCCCTGCTTGTGCTTGTATTATAACAATAAACACTTGACCGCCGCAGTCTGCCAATTCAAGACTGGCCCTTTATTCCCCCGACTCCTCCTCCTCCACCACCAACACAAGCACCACTGCCACCCCCCGCTGCACCTGCCGCCGCAGTCGTCATCCGGCTCAGCACCATCACGCGCGCTGCTTGTCTTGAGCATTTTACTATCCTCGAGACCACCAGCCTTGCTGCCAACTTCGCCCACTGCACACGCCCATTACCATCCACCCCACCCCCCTCCCGGCCCGCTCCCCACCCACTACAAGGGCTTTTCCACTGTACATGGCTGTCGGAGCCATTGCACAACACAGCGCATCTACTACATGAATCGCCAACGGACAAAAGGGTGCTCCATCCTTGATAGCGTCGAGCACTCGTTCGAGCCTCAACTCTCTGCACCGGCCTTCATGTGCCAAAATGCCCGCTCCACAGAGGCTTCCGACACCGTAGCCCTAGACGCCCACCGCGATGCCCGCCAACTCGTTCGTCTGATCCAATGTCCACGATGCTCCAAGCCTCTGAGCACCCCGGTCACCCTGCCCTGCGGTCATACCATCTGCCGCGGCTGCCTCCCGCCTCCACAACCTCGCACCAACATATCATATCCCAATACACCAGACCGTCTCATGGGCATTGCATGTCCATTGCTGGGTTGCGGGGCCGAACACGCCTCGGCGGAGTGTTCTGTCGACGTCACTCTGGCCAAATTGATGGACCTAATCAAGATGGAAATAACCAAGCATACCGCAACCACGGAAACCACTCCGACACTTCTCGTTGAATTGCTCCAGCCTGAAGACGATGCATCCATGGACGAGAAGGAAAAGGAGACGTCTGTACGCCAAGGCCACCAACAGGAACTGCACGGCGGGCATCTTGCGTCTGCATTTACCATGGCTGACCTGGGCAACCTCCGGTACACTTCCGAGATCCGCTACCAGTCACTATCGGCAAGTGGGGACGATTACGAGCACCTCGACCTGATGCTATTGGAACGCCTAAGGGAAGTAATCCACAAGGAGCTAGACTGCCTCGTCTGTTACAACCTGATGCTGGACCCTACAACAACGTCGTGCGGTCATACATTTTGCCGCCGTTGTCTTGCCCGCGTCATGGATCACTCCAGCATTTGCCCATTTTGTCGACGAGGCCTGCATGTCCCTGCCTCGTTACAGAACCAGTCAAGCAACGTCATACTCAACTCTCTGTTGAATGGACTTTGCCCAGACTTGGTAGGTGCTCGTGCAGATGCCCTCAAGGCGGAAGAGCAGGCGGGCGACAACGTGCTAAACGTTCCACTGTTCATCTGCACGTTGTCGCTTCCATCCATGCCCACCTTTCTTCACGTCTTTGAGCCCCGCTACCGACTTATGATGCGACGTGTCATCGAGGGCAATAGACAGTTTGGTATGGTCATGTACAACCGAACACGCGCTCCACAAGGCGATCTGGGTTCGGTTGCTTTTCTGGAATACGGCACACTACTGGAAATTGTCAACTACGAGCTTTTGCGCGATGGGCGTAGCTTCATCGAAACACGCGGCGTAGGCCGGTTCAAGGTGAGAGCGCACGGCATGCTTGATGGATATCATGTCAGCCGCATCGAACGTGTTGAGGATGTTTCTCTTGCCGAGGAAGCGATACTAGAGCAGCGCGAAACCACCATGGCACGTGACTATGCTGAAGCGTTCTTCCGCGATCACCCGCAGACTCAGCTCCCCACGGAAGTTGCCATTGAAACCTTATCCACACAACAACTGCTCGATAGCTGCACAGCCTTTGTTCGAGAGATGAGGGAAGCTAGCGCACCTTGGCTCCGCGAGCGAATTATCCAGGTTTACGGCGAGCCACCAGAGGATCCGGCCATTTTTCCATATTGGTTTGCTTCCGTCGTACCTATTGTGGAAGAGGAAAAGTACATTTTGCTGCAAACAGAACGGGTCCGCGAGCGCCTCAAGATTGTGTACTCGTGGATTGGTAGGATCCGCGGGCAGCGCTGGTAAGTTGTCTAGCTCTCTTTTACCCGGCCTGCATTGCGCATGCGCACACATTCCCTGAATCCTGGTATCCCGGGCTCCGGACATCTCGCATGTCGGCTTCTGCTACGTGCGTCGCAACGTTTATGGCCCCGTTTTGGTGCAGCTGATGCCGAGAGCCTGTTGCGCCGAGACAAGCATTATCTCCGTTGTCCTCGTCACCATGACGCAACAGATATGCGTGAGTCCGTCCGAGCCTAGATTCACAAAGTCCTTGCTTCCATTACAACACCACAACCTTTGTGGGCGTCTTTTTATCTTTGCAAAGCGGCTAACAGGTTACCTTTTTCCAGGTCCTCGGGCAATTCATGCAGCATCCTGTGACTCTTGACTACTCTCGTCACCATCGCCATTGCGCTTCTGTCTGCTGCCCCTCAACGTCAAGCCATGATTCGCATCCATTAGCAAAGCAGGCTTTGATGACGAGTGTGTGTCTCCACCATCGTATCGAGAAACCGGATTCAAACAACCTTCCCCGCATCTCCCTTCTGTCTCTCTCTTCAACTTGAGGACCTTTGCTTACCAGTCTCTTTGCGAAGCATTGCTAGCCATTCAATTTTCTCCTGTGTATAGGCATTGTGGCTGTTATTTTCTGCCCACTCATGACGACAACTTTTTATCCATCATCATCTTTTGGTGTTTTTTTTTCAAACAACTGCTTGTCTTTTTTTCGCTTCTTCAATGATTACCCCCTTTCAGGAGGACCGGAGCTTGCCGTGTCCATGTTTGAAATGAAACCTTTTTTACTTTATATATTTTATATAGACCCCAGGTGCTAGCCTGGTTCGGGAGGGGCTACCTTCTTTATATAGGAGCAACAACAGATCATCAACAACAAAAAGTGGATTATTGATCTTTTTTTTCTCTTCTTCTTCTGGTCGTCTTTATGTTCCTTTTGCAAATCGCATTTTCAAAGGGAGAAGTAAGAACGATTGAGAGAAGCGTGTGAGAGGGAAGGTATTAAAGTGGGGTGAGAGCAAAATGATTATGAACTTTGTATAGTTTTGCCCTCGAAAACACACCAAAAACAAACAACGTCTGGAATTTTTGTAGTTAAAAAACTCTATGGTGTTTTTGATGTGTGTGTGTGTTTGTGTGTTTTGGGGATTGTTCAACTTTCTGGCTAAGCATTTGATTGGCGTTTTTTTTAAAAAAATTCATTGGCTTGGTGTAGTTTTGATGGACAGCAGGAGGAGGAATTGCTGCTGCATGCCAGTGCAGAGAATTAGGTGGTTGGGGGGGGGGGAGCCCCATGATGCGAAACTGAGAGTTTGTATATCTTGTAGGTACTAGGTATGCGTTGTGTATGGATTGAGGAAATGCAAATGTGCTTTCTATATTATCAGGGTACTTTGTGTGCTTGCTTGGATTTTTTTTGCCTGTATGTGGACTTGGGGTGTTTATTCTCTGTTTGCATATGTGGGGGAAAGAGCGGGAGGGTGGGTGGTGCTCTTTCCTTTGGTGACAAGGCTGAGACTCGCTTCGGGGGTTGGGTTGTTGGCTAGGATCTAATAGGAAGGTGGACACTCGTTCTTTTACTTCGTCAACCACCTTCTTCCTAATGCAGGAGTACTGTTCACTTTTCGGCGCTCAATTTCAAGCTTTTGTTTGGCTGCTGGACTGCCGGGTATTGATCTACCTTTGATCGGCAACAATTATATTGCGAGTTGTATCACCTCCTTTAAGCGCTTCGCGACGCATACAGCTGTATCAACTATTGCATACAGAAAAAGAGAGAGCGCATCTGCATGCACCGCCACCAACATGTATACCGTGCACAGGCCGGGGCGAGGCTGAACTACTGTGCCCTATGTTTCCAGCAGCTGAGCCCTAAATCATGCGTTGTTCTCGTCTTACTCTTCATTACTATATTTCTGTCTTGTAAGCTAAGCTGACCGATATCGTTGACCATGGAGGCTCTTTCCTGTGTTGCTAGTGGCATGGCTGTTGCCTCCCTATCAATACAGCTCATTGACTCCATCGTGATCATCAAGACCTTCATTCGCAATGTCAGGGATGCACAACAAGAGTTGGAACGTTTGGTGGACTTACTGGAGCGTCTTGAAGCCTTGTTGGAAGACGTCCGCGCCCTGACGGAACAGCAGACATCATTACAGGCAGAAAATTTTCCGATGCCCTCAATGACGATCTTCAAATGTCTGAAGAGCTGTGAGAAGATACTTGAGCCATTCCATGCGATGGTCGATAAGTATACTCCCACAACATCGAAAGCTGGCACACGTATGAATAAACTCAAAACCGGATTGAGGTTCAGTCTCAAGGCAAAGGATGTTAAAGATTTTGAAAAGCGAATCGAGAGAGAAATCGGATTTCTAAATGCCAGCCTCGGTGCGAACTGCGGAGCCATCTTGTAAGTTTCCAACAAGGTTAATCATTAATAAGATTATACTGAGTGGTTGTTCATGTTAGAATGCAACTTGGCCCTGTATTACTCAAAAACCAAAACAACAACGAAGCCATTTGTCCAAGCTATATGAAAATTCCCATCCCGGACAGCGAATCTGCGATTGTATCCTCTAAAGAGGATATAGCCTCGTTATCGACCACGAGAACTACGCGTGCTTCATTATCAGTAGTACCAGTCCATTGGTCACTTCGAAGACTAGGGGTACATCGGCGGAAAATAGTTCGACGTATGCCAGGAAACTTGGAGCAAAGGAGTTCAGGCTCCGAATATGACCATGAACCCATCGTTTCTGAAGACTATGAGACAACTTTGTTCTGGAGCGTACTCGGTTACGGACTGACGTGGATTCAGCGCCGGTCATTCGGTGTAATGTTGCCGAGCCTCAGCACATTTCCGGTGGTTGACGAATTTCCAAGCGATATTCATTCTGCCATGGAAAATGGTGGAATCCAAGAGTTTCAAGACTTGCTTCATCGCGGGGTGATACACCCATTCTCGCGCGATTGTTCTGGGAAATCTTTGCTTCATGTAAGACCCTCATGCTCACCTTCTTAAAGCGTTCCTGATAAATGATCTAGATTGCTGCAGTCTATTCTAGGGCAGATATCTATCTATTGCTTCTAAGGCTCGGCCTAAAACAAAGCCGCAATATTTGGGGGAATTCTCCTTTGCGATATGCACTATCCTGGGGTGAACCTTCTCTGACCCACGACAGAATCACCATATGTCGTTATGTACTTGAAGACACGGAGTTATCGGTAGATCTCGACTTTTATCTAAGGGGTTGGTGTTTTGCCCCCAAAGAATCTAAGATGATTCAGTGGCTGTATCAACAAAGCAAAGGTATTCCCCTCCGCGAAGATGCCTTAAGAACACAACTTATTGTCATTGAAGCGTTTTGTTCAATGATGAGTGGAAAGCAGTATGCCTCACAAACTTTCCTAGCCAAGTATGATAGTCTTGATGTAAAATCAGATGTATTTGATCATTTACAGCTAGGAGGAGGTTCTCTGCTCAAAAGTCTCTTCAGGCTCTGTTCGAGGAGCGAAACTTCTTTCGAAGTAGGGGGCGATTTTCTCGAATGGCTATCAAACTCAGGAGTCAATGTGGAGCAGTTTGTCAGTAATCAGATTGCAAATCTTGGTTCGGAAGCCTTGCTCAAAAGCTTGCTTCATCATAATGATAGAAGAGTTGTATTTCGAGCTCTTGAAACGGGCGAGTGGGAGCTTGGCTTTGAGTGGGAATTGGACGAAGAAGCATGTGGTTATCTGCTTGTTTCAGAGTACCAGTCCTTGACAGTTGAAGCCAAGTATGGCCGGGGATGGCCATTCTTTGATTTCGACGATGGCTGGTGGCCACAGAGATACAAAGAATGGGAAGCCAAGCGGAACGTCCACTTCCAACGCCGCATGGCTGCCAAAGCTCGCAAAGAACGCACACGAAGTGGTCAAAAGATACCAAGAAGCAGGATACCGGGAGCATGGATATACTGAGGAGTTTGTTTCGTTATGTCGAATGTATTATAGTCACTTTTAGCTAATTGTTTCTCTCATTCCATGCTTCTTAACACACTCAATACCATTTATTTATATACCAGTCCCTAGTTCCTCTACCATACTCTATTTCTCCACCTGCTCACAGATGCCTTGCACCAGCAAATCGTCGTACGATTGGAATCTTTACATCACTCGTTGCTAATGCCGCTCCAAATAAACATTGTAGACGCCCTAGCGCCGTACAACCCACTTTCTTCCAGCTCTAAACCGCGGTGTGCTGGCAAAAATACACCACAGCCCTTTAGAAAAAAAAAACGTGTGACAGTTTTCAATGGAGATTTTCTTCTACCTGGATACACTGAATTTGGTTCCCCTTACCCTAAATTCAAATGCTTGAAGATTCGAATATTCAAGTCCTAAACATTTACTGGCCCTCCATACTATGCATCTTATACAAAAGAACTCAATTAGATGCTGAGATGACATTGATGGGTTAGGACTCTTTGACGTATGTGACGGCAGCGATTCATTGAAGATATATGCTACTTTACTATCCATCTTTTTCCAGGTTTCACGTGATATGGATCATACACAGCTGCCATGTTTTCTCTGACGCGATCAAGTCATCAACTTGCAAAACATCCCTGTCACAAGCTCGAATATTCTGATTGATTCGTCACTACTACTTGAGCACCCTATTGCATAGCCGTAAGCACATTCCCCCAGGGGTGAAGAAAACTCTTGTATACATCAAATCATATATCATAATACCCTATTTTCTTTTTTCATAAACACCTCAATGCCCAACCTTACAGAGTTTTACATAGCGACAATTTTACAATGGAAACTGCAACGCCTCCACCTTCGCACTAGTCGGCCGTCCAAGCATCAGCTCCGAAAGCACCAATCCCGTACCAGGAGCATGCGAAATACCCCAAGCACCATGTCCCGCAGCGATAAAAACGCCTCCCTTGGCCTCTTCTTTCGTCCTGAGGCCCCCCAGTTTCTCGTCTGGTATCCGCGCGACGATCGGTCGACCGCTCGATGTTACCGGACGGAAACACTATACATAGCAGAACGATTAGCATCACATATGCAAGAGGGAGGATTAGGAAAAGCAAAAAAAATAAAACATACCAAACCCTCCCTCAAAACCTCCATCTCCTTCTCGGGCACCGCAACCATCATAACCTGCGCACACTGCCTCAACTGCTCAATCGCCTTCTCACTCGGCCTTACATCCGTCGCGACATCCGGCAGCGGCACAGTCGTACTATTCAGACCCCCAAGGTACAGCTCGCCGCCGAGTCGCGCAAACCATTCTGGCGAGAAGCCGAGCGTATCGGTTGCGAAGATGGCGAGGCAGGCTTCGGTGTCAGCGTCTGTGGGGTTGAAATATGGGTTTCGGACGAGCAGGGAGTGGCCTGCGAGTGGGGAGATGGGGATGCGGGATTTGGAGCTGGGGAAGAGGGTTGTGAAGACGCGGGGGGACCAGGCGCCGGAGGCGATTACGAGGCGGGAGCATGGTACTGGGTTTACATAGTTAGTATATGTGCAATTGGTAGGTGCACGTTTGTGTGGGGAGAGTCTTACGCTCGGTTTGGGACTCGGCGTCGTCGCCTTGTTGTATCCGTACACGACTTAGTACACCGTCGGAGTCTTGAATCACACCCGTTGCTCGTGCAGGTTGATGTATGGTTACGCCCCTTGCCTTGACCTCTTTCAGTACCCACTGACAGAACCTCAATGGGTCTATCTGCGCTGTCGTTCCATCTCGACTAATGACTTCCATGGTTCCTTCTTGTGTGCGTCGCAGCCATCCTGGGCGAGTGACCTGCTCTTCCCGCGGTTTGTTGTGACCCGCTGCTTGTGCTCTGCTTGTTCCATTTTCTAGCCAATCTTCGCCGCTACCTGCAATGGCCGATTCGCTGTCTTGCGAGAGGGAAATACCGGTTGAAGAGGAATAGCCCCATGCTGTGCGGCCGCCGTGTGCTTGTGCGAGGTCGGAGTGGAGTTTGAAGGACAGAGTGCCGAGGGAGGATACGGATGGTGCGAACCCTAGAACGGAGAAATTATTAATTAGATATACGAACTCGAGGTGGATTAAGAAATTGTGGGCGTGTTGGAGACTTCTAAGATGCAGCACACCGCCCCAGGTACATACAATCAGCACTCAAGAACCCCGCCGCGAGTCCCGACGCGCAATGGAACAACTCGGCACTGGAATCGACAATGTGCACATTTTGTGGATTGGTTTTACCGGCCTCGGTCAGATAGTAGGCAGTACACAGGCCTATGATGCCGCAGCCCAGTATAACGGTGTCGGTGTTGTCGGAGATAGGAGGCTGTTCGCTGACAGCCATGGCTACCTACTAATCTGGCTGCTTCTCCGCGTGGGGTATCGGCAGTTTAAATGAGGGGTACGTAGTAAAGCAAAGAAAATGGTCAAATGGGCAGAGCAAACCAAAAGAATAGCAGGGCCGAATCTCTTTTCTTTACTGCTGACTATGAATCGCATACCATACGCACTTGCTAACAGGTCACCTTTAAAAGAGTGTCCCGGTAGTCGGTTTTCGGCGCCGATGCGCAAGTCTGACCACTTACACCCATACACGCACGCTTCATCGATTACTATGCTAAACGGAAAGCATGCGCTCCTGTTTCCCCCTTCCGTCTGCCCTCAGTGGTAGGAGGAAGCGACACAGCACATGTTATCGTACGAGGCAATGTGGAAAAAGAGGGGACCGCGGCTACGCGTTGCTCTTTGTCGTGAGTGGTGCAAGGGGTTAGTCAAAGCCCACTTCTACCCATTCAAACTCGGGTATAAGTGGTCATGAGCCGACATGGCCTGATTACAACGGTAAGGATCGCATTCTGGAGCTGCGCCTTTACTGCTTTGGTGCACGCCTTGTCGTACTATCCGCTGCAAGACTCGGATGATCGACTCGGCTGCCTGCGTGCGAAAAGCTCGCTGCTTTACTTTCTGTGCTGCTGTTGATGTAAGAGCCTGTAAGGCGGGTGGTGCCATCACCAGAGAGTTTGGAAACCCAAAACAGCCCCCGCATGCCCGTTTCTGTAGGGTGAGAATGAGCCCAACATGTAATGCATCAGAATCAGAGCGCAGTTTGGTAATGGCTGCATTGATACTATCTAATATAACTGTGGAACGTCGCAGGTGCGGACCCGAATATCTGCGTGCTATTAATGATGTCGAATGCTTTTTTCATCATGCTCCCTTTTATCCTAATTCTGTTGCTTAGCGATAACTCGGTGACCGAGTATGTTGAGCATGGTGGCGGAAAACACGACATCATGCTTTCAGACCCGAAAGTGTATCCAGTTCATCCAGCAATGCTCTTTTCCATGCCCGCGGGGTCAACTTAGCGAGACGAGTCGGGTGTCGAGCGACATGGATAGGTCTTTTCGTAAACACCAGGGAGTATATCGGCAATATCGTCCTCGGGATTGCCTTTCTCAACATAACGGCAAGTATCGTCCATCCCAGTCTCGGCCGCCGTCGAAGAACGCGAGCTAGATCCCGTTCCATATCCAGTTCCGTCGTAGAGCCCGGCATGCTGTCCCCACGTGCTCTCGCGGTTCTGTCGCTTGCCAGCGTTGCTGATACGGCTATGCAATCGCTCGGTACTCTCCATGTCCAGGTCGAGATCCAGCCATTCGGGAAGTATGCCTTCTGCAAGAGCCTCATCGAGCACCAGTTCCCTGTTCGTGTTTCCAAGCATATCCCCATTCAGCACAACGAATCTGTCGAGTTCAGGCAATATCCTTTCCGCCGCAGCAAAGTCTTCCTCACGACGGGCAAAAATCATCTCCAACTCGTTGTTAGGGGCATAGGCGTGGCCGTTATATGCCGCGATACGGATGCGGCGTTTGAGATCTCCATTGTGAAAGACTCTCAACATGTAGTCCTTGCCGATGATCATCAACACATTGTTAGAAGGGTCTGTCGTGCCTGCATTCGTATTAAGGCAGTGCTGATCAAACTTTTCCGTCAGTTCGTGAACGGCGGAGTCTTCTTGCATGAATCGACGATCATTGACCAATTCCGTGATGTTGTCAGTATTGGATTGTTCGCTTTCAGAACTTCTGGTTGGAACATGGCGATGTTCTGCGGCGGCTTGGACGATTGCAGTCATTTCTCGTGAAGTGCCTTGGATCTGGTGAGACTCCTGCATATCATCCTGAAGGGGAGCCAATAAGTCCACGCAAGTTAAATCCAGGTCGAATGCCGGGCCGAACATTGGTGATGGAAAATCTTCATTCTGGTCCTGGTCTAAGAGCCTCCGGAGTGGAGCTGGCGAAGAAGGGATAGTGCCATCAGGTATAGCAGAGGACGAGTCAAATGATTGCGGCTTCTGATTTTCTGATGAAGGGATAGGCAGTGGTGACGAATAGCAAAACTCATGGCCAAAATCGGTCGAGTCCGTGCGACTTAAGTCAAATAAGGGCTCATCGACCGGTGACTCTTGGAAACTGAGGAGAAGAGACGACCTTGGGCGGGGCATTGGAGTGCGAGGGCTCTAGTGAGTATACAATCAGTAAATTTCTCAAACCAGTGGTCGAGCGGTACCCACATCAGCGCAAGGCGAAGTCTCTACCTCGGGTTGCTTCGCCTTGGTTGGTGATCGCAGACTCCGTAAAGAGTTGATGCTTCGCAATTTGTTCTCTTTCAGTGACCCTACAAGACCCTTGCGCCTTGAGGGACTCTCGTTGCTCGACGGCGAATCGTTTGCGTTTGGTCGGACGGAAGCTTTGTCTGGTGAGGGACCTGGAGTTGTCCCCCTCTCGATCAGGTTACGATCGACGCCAGACAAGTTGCTCCTCAGGATGATCAGCATATCTGAGTGAAATCAGAAGGATGAAACACTCACTCAGTATCGTTCTTCCTGCATAGGAGCTGGGAAATGCTCTTCCTGGCTTTGAGGCTGAGGAGATCGAAGTGCATGATGAATGGATGGGGTGCTCTGCTGACGCCAAAGACTTGATGGATGGTATCAAGATGTTGGCTGAGTGCGGTGGAGGATACTGTAAGATGGCCTGAGATGGTGGTAGTCACTCGTGTAGCTCTTGAACTCTGGGCCATGCCTGTAAACAATCATGGTCGGTCCTGCTTGACCGTTGTATGTGAGCCTGGGTCATGATTTCCAGATCAACTCCAACAGCGAATTATCAGGCTCCCTTGTATGCTTGAATCGCAAGTTCTATTAGTATGCTTGCCGACAAGAAAATCAATTAGCCTGTTACCAACAGACCATCTTGTACGGCTTTAAACAGGAAGTTGTGATGATCATTGATGAAATCCAATGCTCACCGGGGAGCGGTTCACGATTACCGCAACAATAAGGTGTTGTTTTGGAATAGTGAAAATGGCAAGTAATTGTGAGTCGGCAGTAAGAGCACTTGGAAGGAGATCCATCCTGACTACTCGATATGGAAGACTAGATAGGCACGTGACGCGCGCGGACTGTGCATATGATCCCTGTCTAGCTCCTTCACGTCGCGGTCCACAGCACTACAGTGCTCAACCACCGAGCAGCGCAATCGCCCTCCACTCGATGTCATAGCCGCCATCATCATCCGAGTCGCACTTAATTCGGCTCCACAACTATAGTCTGCATAGCGCCACACAAACAGTACAGTTGCGACACAATGGCGCGCGGACGCCCTTCTCGAGCTGCAGCGCGTCGCAGCACGCCCGTTCGCAGCGCAACACCGCAGCAAGATAGCGATGAAGATATGATAGATCCCCCAGAGTCGCGCGCCGAGACCCCCAAGGAGGAAGAGGAAGAGGAGGAGGCCGCATCGGTAGCACAAGCAAGCGACGAGGAAGCCGCGCCTTCTGAACGTTCACCATCGCCTGCAGTCATCCAGCCTTTCCCGCGTAAGAAGCGACTTGGTCGACCTCCTAAGAACAGGCCGCCGGACTGGAATGCCGGAGAGCCAGACAACTCCGAAGGCGGTACGCCTATTAAGCGTAAGCGTGGACGGCCGTCTGGAGGAGGTCGAGGACGACCGCCAAAGGGAGGGCAGTCGCATACGACCCGCGTCCCCATCGACAAGGAGGGAACCATGATGGATGTTGTCAACGACGAGGTCGATCTACCTGAAGACGAAGAGGGCGAGAAGAAGGTCGACAAACTAGGCAATCTCATGGGTGGACGGGACTATCGAGTGCGCATCTTCACTATTAGAGGCAGAGGAGAGAGGCAGTACATGTTGTCGACCGAGCCCGCTCGATGCTGTGGTTTCAGGGACAGTTATCTGTTCTTCACCAAGCACATGAAACTCCACAAGATCATCATAGACGACACTGAGAAGAGGGATCTCATTGACCGCGAGATTATTCCCCACTCATACAAGGGTCGTGCTATTGGTGTTGTCACTGCGCGCTCCGTCTTCAGAGAATTCGGCGCGCGCATCATTATTGGTGGCAAGAGGATCATTGACGACTACTACGTCACGGCAGCGAGAGAGAATGGCGCAGTCGAGGGCGAGCTTGCGGACCCCAATGACCGACTACCACCTCCAGGCGAGCCATACAACAAGAACCAGTACGTTGCCTGGCACGGTGCCAGTAGTGTTTACCACACCGGCGTGCCCAGTGTGCCAACAGCGAACGGAAAGCCTGCGCCTGGAAAGCGAAAGGTCAACATCACATCCGCCAACTGGCAATTCGAGCACGGCTCAGCAGCTAGGTAAGCAAATGATTTCTACGTTCACCATTCCACGACCCTAAAGCTAACGAGATCTAGTCGATTCAACTCGAGCCTCTCCAAGCTCCGCAAAGCAAACCTCTCAGGAATCTACGATCCACACACCAACCTCATGTGCTACCCAAAGGTCACACAACCAACCCACGCACGTTGGGAAGAAGTCGCCCCCGAAGACACCGACGTGCCCCCTCTTGTCCGCAGAAAATACCTCGTCGTCGACACCGTCTTCCAGCAGCCTCCCTTTGCTGGCCTCGGCATCCCAGGTCCCGACGGCGACTTCATCGACGTCGGCATCAACGGCCTGCCCAAGCTAGATGCCGAAGATGAAAAGCACATGAAGCCCGAGGAACTCGAAGCTTTCTCGCAAATCAAGCGTGAAGAGCAGGAGTGGCGGAGTCAATGGGGTGGCGAGAGTACGGATGGTGCAAGGGTGAAACCAAAGATTGGGTTTGTAGGCGTCCCGGTTTAGGGAACGCGGGCCGCTTTGAAAAAGCATTGATTGAGGGGAAGTTGTGTTGCGCTGTGGATCTTTTTTTTCTTCTTCTTTTAAACAGATTCTTTATCTTTTCGGGGCGTCTCTCATTGAAGGCGTGAATTCGGGGAGTGGAATATACCAAATGTGGCACCTTGGGCTACGTAAACTACTATAGTTATTCGTAAGTGTGGGGAATACTATGTGCATTCACAAGAGAATAATAATGGCGGTTGACCTTGTTGTCGAGTTGTGTGATTATGTTGCGCTTGGAGATGTCCGATATGGCGATTCTGGTGTTTCGAGGTTCCGGATATTCCTTAGAACATGCATACAGTATGGCACTGGGTTATCTAGAGTAAAATTGCTGCTGCTGCTCTGGTTTGTGAGATACTGTTGATCTTGCTACCGAGTCCCGTGAAAAAAAAGGGAGTTAGGGGAATGTGTTTTTGAGATCTTTCACTTCAAGATGTTTAATTGATTATGACATGTTGAAAGATGTGTAATCTTTGCTCCGATATATATTGGAAAGAAAACGAGCTTCATTGTACATCTCTATTATCTAATTTCCAACACTATTAATGAGCTTGATCATCAGTTGGAAACGGGGTGTAGTTTTATCTGGAGCGATGAAGTTAGATAGTGTCAGCTTGGCGTGGATTATGTTTGCACTTCGTGAACATGAGGGCTTCATTGGTGTTATTTTGTTTAACAGCGTATTATTGGAAGCAAGAAAGAGGATATGACTTCTTCGTGCATTGCAGTTCGCTTTTTTTTGCTGATGAGTGCAATCGAGAATATCACACAAGAATAACACTCAGTAAACCTATTGATATGTGCGCTGGTAAATGTTATGTTGATTCTCTCTTTTACTACCACGTATATAAATATATCTTGATATAAGCCGAAAAATCAAACTGTGCAAATCACACTTGGTTTTTCAGATATCCCAAGGCAGTGGCGCATTTTGCCCGGAGAGCTGACAGGAGTGCAGATTATACGTATGGGAAGCTACATAGCAAGGGGTAGGAAGGATTAAGAATGTGGACCGCGTGTGCATAATGTGGGCTGGAAAATGTAGACGGAAAAAGAACGGAGTGCGGAAAGCGTATTGCGTGAGCAATGTGGACCGCTTATTCTTATTGTGTAATCAGCGGGTGAATGATCTCACTACTACGGAAATATCGTCTCCGCTCTTTCTTTGTTATCTTCATTTTGTGACGTTACCGTAAGCAAGAAAAGTTTGAAAAGATGTATGTTCAACGGAGGATCTCCGCAAGTGGCAAATTTACATTGTGTACTCACAGTCGCGTGATATTTTTTTCCCGCCGGTTGCGAAAACAATTATGTCTTTGCAAAGGAGAAAGAAAAGAAAAAAACTTTATTGATGTTGGCCAAAGTTTACGACTGTATCGCTGCATAGAAAAATGTCTGACTACAGCATAAAAGTAAGTAACGCGACAGCCATGCTCACGCTAGCAAGACGTTACTATACCGCTCTTTCTTTCTCGTGCACTGTTTTGCATTAACAAAGGTAGGAACGCATGGTCTAAGCAAGGACAAGGAAGTGGGGTCCGCAGTAATCTCACACCAGTCCGGGGTTAACTGGGCTTGGAGCAAGTGACTAGGGTGAAAGGGTTTAAACTTTTGGATCTACGACAGAACTGTTTGCTGTTGGGGTTCTCGCGATACCTGTAAGAGATCCTCCGTTTCAAGGAGGAGTGCCGATGGATCGTCGTTTGTGTGTGGTTCTGGTGCGTTGAGCGCTTTGTTAGGCGAGGGGGACAAAGGGGGCTGATTGTTCTTGGGATGTTGGTCAGTGGTTGCATGTGTGGAATGCTGACGCTTTCATGACAAGAGCGCATTTACGGCTGGATGGCTCAACAGTGGAAAATTCCGCACAGAGACATCTCGGAGAGCTGGCTTGTTGAGGTATTGGCTGGGTAGGCAGCAGCAATCCTGTAGACTTTGTTGATTCAACACGGGAAATTCTATTTGCATCCACACATCAGGACATCGGCAGTATCGAGTGCTTATTATTAGCGTTAGGATTCGGCAGTAATCATTGGCGATCAGGTCAGTCATCATTATTGTGTGATGGTTTTTTTTTCCGATACGATGATTAGATAGACGGCGGCACAGAATAGGCGGTAGAATTATTGCTGTTGTTACGGTTTATTTCGTCCATTTATCGATGGTATCATGTGGATAATTTCGGGGCGATCGTCGGAGCCATGTCGAAGGGTAGGCTCGAGGCAGCGCCATTTCTGAAGATGCGATAGGTCCGAATTCCGGTGCCTGAAACGGTGACGAGTCGAGCGGTGGAGCACAGTGCGACGGTTCATGACAAGAAACGCCCCATAGGACGCCAAGACCAAGGCTGTGCACGCCTCCGATAGACAATATATGGGATTTGAGCACAAGCAGTGGAATGTGTGGTGGCGACGGGACCATGGGATCACGGCGAGTGCAGCAGCAATTTCGGATTCAGAGACGGTGCCGGCGGTTGAATGAGCAGCACATGTCAAGGGTACATTAGTTAGGAAGGTTGCTGGTTGGTGGGTGGTGCCCTGACCGGAGCCGGAGAGCCGCTCGTCTCACATGGGCCAAAAGGCACCAAGGAAGCCACCATGCCCCCCAGATTCCGGCAGAAGGGGACGTTTTGCTTCAAGAGGGGTCCGATGGCAACGGGTCTCGTGTGACAGCTTCAGTCTCCTGCAGCGATAGAGTAGTAGGGACGAGGGGTGCATTGCATGCTGCTACTCGTACCTACTTGGAGAAGCAAAGGGTCCGTACTAGGGTAGCGCAAATCTTCCGGCAATAGGCCGCACTTTGGAAGGTGAGATAGATTGCGAAGCAGTGTGGGGACAGGAGGCTTGGTGGTTGGACTGGCTAGCGAACCGGCCGAGTAGATTGCAAATATGGGGTACAGATGCTTCGAGAAGAAACGCAGCCAGGGTCTTCATCTATACGGACCGCACATGTTATCTACACAGTACAAGTAAATGCGCAGATATTAAGGGCGATAATGCAGGTGGGTGCGTGACTGCGAAGGCTGGCCCCAAGATCGAGGGCCGAGTGGCAGGGAGGGCCAGTTGGGTTTTGCTGACGGCATCTCTTACGACATGGCCAGCTTTGGTCTGTTTCGCGTTGCCACTGCCGTCTAGTGGGTGACACAGCACACAGGTGGGCCGGTAAGAGCTAAATCGAGCTCGTACTCGGCCTCGACTGCTCTGGGGGCTGGGTCAGCGAGGCCGTACATGTGCATACACACGCATACCGCCTCTCTCAGCGGCGCTGCAGGGCGGCATTGGCGGAGGGGCAGCGACCCATGAATGCGAAGAGTGGCCCAGGGCTTGGAGGTGTAAGGTCGTGGAGCAGGACGAGGGCAGCAGCAGCAGCGCAGGCCCCTGACGGACTTGGGGGGAGGGTGATAGGGTGGTGGTGAAACCAGTCGCGGCCCGCGGCTGAGTTCCTAGCGTAGGGGTGTGCATCGGGCTTACGGTACCAGCGCACTTCCCAAAGCGGTCTAGCGTACCGGGGTCACTCAGGGTGCTTGGCAGCTGCCTATTAAAAGGTGGCAGACATGCCACTCTGTCCTTTTCGATGCACAGCCTGGGTCCTAGTCTTAACCACCCACTATGCCCACAAGTCCCCGCACACGCTCACTACTACTACTACTGCAATGGCCGAGCACACCTTCGACTCTTCTCTCTTTTCCCACACTATGAACACATCCACCATCACATCAACACCCCTCGCCCCACCTCCATCAGCCACATCATCACACCAACAACAACAGGCATCAGACACCATGATGCCCACAACCATCAAGATGGAAATGATTGAGAACTGCGACCACTCGCCCTCACCACAACGCTCCGCCTCCAAGTCATCAGAACCCTCATCAACACCGGCCCCAGAGAGCAGCGCCTCAAAGCCAGTCAAGAAGCGAAAGTCATGGGGCCAGGTCCTGCCTGAGCCAAAGACCAGCCTGCCGCCCCGAAAGCGCGCAAAGACCGAGGACGAGAAGGAGCAGCGACGCATCGAGCGTGTAAAGCGGAATCGTCTCGCCGCACACAACTCACGTGAGCGAAAGCGACAAGAGTACGAGGTCCTCCAAAACGAAAAGGACGAGCTCGAGGCCAACATGAGGGCCTACAAGGACAAGATGGCCCAGATGGAGGCCGAGCTCCGCTACTACCGATCAAAGTACCCCGGTGAAGCACCAACATCAACCCCCTTCGACCTCTCAACAACACACGACTCGTTCAGCACCATCTGCCCCGCGCAGATCCCTACATCCTTCCCCAGCCCCGTATCCATGGACTCGATGGACTCACCCCGTGACTCATCCTGCCAACCCGAGACTCCCCCGTCAAGCTTCGAGGCCTCGCCCGAATTCGACTCGACACAATACTCTGCCGCGGTATTGTGCGACCTGCAGTGTCAGTCGAATTCGGCAGCCTCGCTTCGGACGATCTGGACCTACCTTTCTCTATTCAACCTTTCGCACCAGTCGATGAGAAGCCTGTCGTCATGGAAAACTTCTTCGACTTCGACCAGTTCCCAAAGTGCAGCCCAACCACCAGCGCACCAATGGAACCCGCTTTTAGCATGGTGGATTCTTCTTCAGTCGATGTCTTTGGGTCAACCCTCTTCGACCACAGCTCTACCTCAAGCTCTTATGGCTTTCTTGACGGCTTTGATGCAAAGTTCCATGACTTGCAGAGTGCCTCTGGCGCAACTTCGGTTAGCGACGAGGCCCTCGCAGCGGGATCACTTTAGCATCGATGCTATCATGCGACCCATCAAGAGCGCGAGCGGGCAAGCTGGGTCGGCGGATGGTTGCCGTGGATCACGACTAATGAAATCTCCTACCTCTATACAAACGGGTCGGCGTAATGGTGTACAAATAGGAAGGATAGAAAGGTCCGTATTGGAAAGGCAAAATTTGGGGCATGGTTTCACATGGCGTAGGACGGGGTCCGTAGCTTGTGGCGCGTAACTGGGTTGTAGTAACAGTTTCTTTGAAAGACTTTTTGGTATTTCCTTCGTGGATATCACTTCCTCGATGGGTTCACAATGGCGGACAAGTCACACCAAGGGCTGGTGCCTCTATCTAGCCAATTCTACCAATGTCTACTGTTCAAACATGATGATCTTTTTCTGGTTGCTTGTGATGTCTTACTGTCTCCTGCCTGCCTTGTCTCGCCTTCGCTTTACTCGCATCTTATCAGCCGACCCAAACTCCATCCCCCCCTGATGTGTCAGTCTAATGTGTCACCCACCGTGACTTTCTCCACACTCGTCCCTCATTCCGCATACGCTAATGCTGGCCCAAGACTCTCCACATGGACGATCTCCGCGCCTCTTGCCTCTGACCTGCAAGGGCCCAGACCAAGACGGCCTCTCTCTCGTCTCGTCTCGCTGTAGTATCCTGCACATGCACCTCTCGACGCCGACGTTTCCCCTTTCTTCCAGCCCACTTCCTGCACATCCTCTGCCAGCTCAAGCAGCAGTAGTAGTATGTAGTAGTACACACCAACACTTGCCCGTTTTTGTCCGCCCCGCTCCCCCAAGACATCAGAATGTCGGTCTGGGCTCCGCGAATGATATCGCGATCACGTCATCCGGTTACGCCGAAAGTCCCGCGCGAGTGCTACCCGAAATCTGAGATGATCGCAATGCCTCCTTACCCTGGTTTCCGAGGGCATTGGGGAGGGGGTTTTGAACTTGTAACGCGATAACAAGGTGACATGCAACATGATGGAACGGTACATTTTAGGAAAAAGAAAAGGAAGTGTTAGGATGGAAATTTTTCAGCTATGCGGGAGTGTAAAGTGTGTACCTTGTACCGTCTTATCCGGTTATCTAGGTACGTAACTTGGCGCCCGTAACACATTCCCAACTACAGTAAATGGGAGGGGGAAATGCGGTAGCTGAGCCAAAGTGTTAAACATGATTTGCTTGTTTTTTTATTTTGCTTTGTTCAACCCTCCCCCCCCCAATCGCCCTCGAAGTCCGTTATGTGTGGAGCGGGTAACCAGCCAGCCAGCCCAGCCCAGCCCAGCCCAGAAAAAAAAACGGACTTGAGTCGGGGTGTTCGCTTACTAAAGTTTCCTGATAACCACACACACAACCCACACGAAGTTAACCCCCACCATACACATCACACCGTTTTCTGGCGCCACAAAGACCCAGCTCAACTCCGATATCTCCACCGGACTCTTGACAAAAAAAAGCAATCGAAGAGTCAGTTTAGTTTAGTTTAGCTCTACATAGCTTTAGCCAGCGAGGCAAAAGCAAATGCAGGCCCCTCTCACACACTCTGACTGCAAGATTCAGGACTTGCGTGTACTTGCATTGAGTGCATGAAAAAGAGGAGAAATGGGGGGGGGGGGGGAGACAATGAGAGAAGCGTAGCCACGCATCAGCTGCGTACACCGCTTTGTGCTCGGAAGCAAGAAAGGGAAGAAAAGCCCCACAAAGAAAGAGGGATTAGAGTGGGAAGAAAAGGACGGGGCCCGGGGGGAAGACAAGGGAAATGGGGATTTGGAAGATCCCGCTCTCAAGCATGTGAAGATTTGACTGGTTTGAATTGCATCAAGGAAAAGTACCAGCTTCTCCTTTTGTAGAGCTACATCCAAACAATTCATGCCCCAAAGAGTCCCATTCGCATACACCCCAACGTAGGTGAAATGGAATGCCAACACAAGACTGTTAAAAGCACCGATTTTACTCGGGACTTCCCAGTGTTGAAAGGTCTCCCGTGGTCCCCTCCCCTCCTCCCTCGCTTGACTACTTACTAGCCAAAACTCTGCTAGACTGGGATAAGAGAGAGCCCCATGTGAGCTAAACCCGCTTCGCACCGTATAGCCGATCTTTCTGGCCGTGGGCCACTCATCCCCAACGTAACTTTACTACCACTACCGCCGAACCGATGTTGTTACATGATGATGCTTGCCTCTTTGTTGCGGTGAAGGGGGCTTGCATTCTTCGCTGTATGTAACTAACAGGGATTCTTTTGGTGCCTTTTTTACTTGGTGACCTGGTCGACTGGCGGGGGCTTGTTCGAGTCTGTAGCCGCTTTGCCCTGGCCTGTGATGCCCTTCTTGGGCATCTCGCCTCCGCCCGAAGCGCTCATGCCTTCGATGCCTGTTCGTTGTCGTGTCAGTTGTGCGGTCTTGGAAGATAAGGGTCTAAGGTTTTGTTTGCCATTGGCTCATATGAGCGGGATGGAGGCGGTGGGGAGGGGACAGGGGGTCGTACCATCGCCCTTTTCGACTTCAGGCATGGGAGCTACCTTCTTAGTGTGGTCCATGGTGGCCTACAGTCTTTGTCAATATTTACTCCGGAAGTACTCATTGGAGACAGCACTTACGTCTCCAGAGTTGCCGTGGACAATGTTCTGGCCCTCAATGGGTCCGTTGTCTGAGGATCCGTCTCCGTTGCGGGGCATGGTGGTGGTGATGGTACGTGCGTGGGTTGAATGTAGGTGTACAGACGTGTGTATTAGAGAAGAGAGTTGTAAGAGGGTTTGCTGATGCTGGAAAGAAGATTGGGAACTCTGAGGCTTTAATATGGATATGGGGTTCGTCTTGTGCAAACTGCGTTGTTACGTAGAATTGCGATCAGAGGTGAGGTGCTGTGATGTCATTGTGGGGTAAGGCTGTTCAGCAAAGAGAAATGGGACCCACCACCAAACACCAAATATGGACCAAATTTGGTATGTTTCGTAAGAGTGACGCAACTGGCCCTCTTTGCTTTCTGGCAACTCTTGGTTATGGTACGTAACGGGGTGTTTTTCCTTCTTCCGTTGTTGTCATGGTCGTGATGGGAAGAATGTTCTCGCTCATGGTTCGCCGATCCGATCGTAGTAGCTTTATGAGGAATAAGTATACGAACTGCAAAGTGCATGGCATTGCTCTTGGATCGTGAAATCAAAGAGATCGAATAGATGTGCAAGATGTTCATCGGGAAGTCCAGCAACTGACCTTTGCAAACTGGTGTTGGAATCGGTATTTTCTGAGAAAGATGAAGGTTTATGGAAGTATGATGGATTCACTGCAACTGAGAGACTTTTGGTAGACTTTGGTCATGATTTTGGTTTTTTGCAAGGAGATGAATGGAAAAAGGAGAAGGTAAGGCATACCAGTACTACATTTAACCACTCTATTCTGCTTGTCCTAGTATTATTTCCACGGCTAATTCCAAGTCCCAAATTCTTCCTTTTCTGAGTGCGGAGACTATTTAAGATATTTTCCTTTAATTTCATTAAACATCAAATGAGTTCATGCCAAACAGCTGGGTAAATGAGTGCCTTGTGTCTAATATTGGCTGCTATGCATGGGTGTTCCAACGGGTCAAGTTGTTTTGCTGTCATATACGCTTCCTATAGTATTCGATCTTCGTGCCGATGAGAGCTAGAAAGATATTGCTCGCTGGTGAGCCGGAATAGAGGACTTTGTCACTTGCAAATGGGATGCTGTCGAAACTCACTGAATAAAATAGCTTCTAGCATAGTATACGAGCTTAGTTAACCAGCTTCAGGCTTTTACTAGTGTTTTGATTGACAAGTTGCATTGCGGGTCGAGCATGTATCCTACCGGTTCTGAAGTACGATTGCCGTTATCATGAATGACCATCACGACAACCCAACTTTAAATTATCTTGATCATTTGTGGGTCACCACCCCGGAAAGCAGATCTCTGAGCAACCTTCCTCCTTTCTGCTAGATCAAGCAGTGCCTCAAAATCATCAAGCTCCTCCAAATCGTCTCTTCGCGGTGGCTCAAAGAAAAACATTCCAATCTTAGAAAACTCCTTTCCGTCTTTCGTAGTAAGGATAAGTCCTGATGGCCCCTTGCCAGTATTTTCGTCGAAGCAGCATATCTGAAGACTGAATATCCTGCTGCTATCGACCTTGGAAGCAAGTGTCTCGTCCCAGAAATCAAGGGCAACGTGTGCCAGATCAAGATCAAGATATTCGTTATCTTCATTTGTTAATACCGGAAACTCTGGATTATTATCGGATACGGTCTGTTGTACGAGACCACGTACGATTAATGATCCGGATCGTACAGTGCCGTACGGTGCCTGGGGATGAGCAGGTTGGGTTATGCATGATATGAGTTCGAGTCTAGGATCAATTTCGGTGTGCATAAAAGTATGCCACTTGACAAATCCAACGGTAGAAGCCCATGACCATGAAGGTGCACGATATGCTTGGAATTCGTCTTGCCGAAATGGCTGTTCATGGGACCACAGTAGCCCTAAAGGAAGATGTGATTCCCAGAGGCCTGCAAGATAGCGATCATTTGATGTTTGAGCCCAAGCCTGGACTATTCCAGATATTGCTGGAAGTCTATCCCACTCGTCCGATAACTCGCGATAAGTATAATGCTCAACAATGTCCATCCAATTCCTGCAGCTTCGGTTCTCGGTACGAATACCCTTATACATCTTGTACGTCTTGTCTAGGAGGCGAATGAGTGATGATGGTAAGCTTTGAATTGTATCATTCTCATGCATCGAAATACTCCCACAAGACCAGTGGAGTTCGAAATCGGTAAATCGAAGAACTCGACGGGCAAGCAGATGCTCTTGGAAAGTCCAGCCGCGTTCATCAATCGGCGATTTCATCTGACTGCTAGAGAGTATTACGGATCCTAGTCTTCCAGATGGCGAAGCAAAGGGTAATCTGTACCCGATTGTTCCTGGAGTAGGCAGAGAGCATTGATGAAGAAACCCTTGATTGCAACTGCTAGCCCTACTAGCTGAGAATGTAATGAAAGAACCTGCATATATTTTGTGCATTTGCGCAACTTCGGTCGCTTTATCCTCTGAGCTGTCTTGGTGAATACAAAGACTGTCGATCCAAATCCAACGAATCCCAAGATTCGAGGTCACTTGGATAGCGTCACGGATGGTTTTGGGAAGAATTGAAGCTGATACCCCACGCTTTAACGTGTCTTCTGTGCCACCATTCAACTGGAACTCTTGTGGACCTCCCCAACAGTAGGATAGAGTCGCGTATTTCGTTCTGGCGGCATCGAGTTCGGAGGAAGTTTTCAAATGAACGCGGACGCACATTCCGCTCTCTTCACTGAACGTATTGATTTCCAACAACCTTCTGGGAAGAAACAGGGAGGTTGGCAATGCGCAATCCGGATGGTTAATTTCGCACTCGTAAAGGCGTTGTCTTGCCCACGAAGCTGATTCTTGCTGTCTAAAATCGTGCAGAAATGGTCGAATCAGAATGCTCTCCGCTGCTGGGTTGCCTGTTCCATGGTTAAACTTCGTTCAACCTAGGACATGCTCTTTTAACCCTGTACCTTGATGAGCCAGGACAAAATAATAAGTTTCTTTTTGCTTCGGATGTCGAACATCTCCCGCCAATTCACCCATCGCACATTTCCAAGTGCCTCTAGCCGTTTCTAGACGGTCCGTATAGTCACTGAAGTACAGTTCATATATCCAATTCTCTGGCCGGAAGCGGGGCGAATCGCTGGCTTGTTCGTGTTCATGGGTCTCCAAGATAGAGTGGAGCGAGTCGAAAGCATCCTTGAAAAACGCGCAGCCTTGTAACGCGCCATCTCGTATCCTTGAGCCCCGATACCTGATGAGGGTTCCGGAAAACAGGTCATCATTGACTTCTCTTTTGAGTTCCACACTAGGATCGAGTTCCTGTACGTTGCAGAAACTACAGGAATGGATCAAACCTGGAAAACGTGAATTAGGCATCTTCAGATCTTCACCTGATTCAAAACTCTCTTCATTATTCATTGCAGCGGGGCTCTAGCACTGGCCTTCAGATTACTAGTTGGTGACGTTCCTTTTGCGAAGTTTTATGATCTTTGCCATGCATCACCGTCGCTCTATTATGATGAAGCAAATGAGTGCGGAGTTGTTTAAGGTTCATGCCTCTACACTGATTTAGCCCTTCCAGTCATCGAGTTACACAGTTGTGCAGGATTTTCCCTCACGTGATATTTCTCTGGCCAATCAAGCCGACTATCTACCTGGATTTGACCTTGATATCCTAGCATTAGCACAACCGCATGAAAAGCTATACGATTAGATTTCCACAGAGCGTGAGTTTTTGCTTTCCTAATTTGCGCTTCCCAGGGGTCATAAATCCAATAATTAGTTCTTAATATCATAGGGACATTACGAAGGTTAGGTTGTTTACTGCATGAGTTTAAATGTCCAGGAACGATTACATGATGGTGTTGCAGAATACAGGAGCCTACTAGTATTATCGCTTGAGAGAAGCTCTCCGTATTTAGGCGGAAGCCCGTCGACGCGATCATGATTTTTAGGTTAAATAGGACAGGACCGTTCCGAAGCAGGCAAACAACATTATTGATGTTAACTGCAGAAAAATCTCCCGCAATGAAGATGTTAGAGTCGCTTATTTTCCAAGTACCTACAGTTTGTCTCCCCAAACTGTGTCTTGCTAAGACGGGACGGACGTTACATTGCTATTTGCATATCTACGTTGTCAAATTTGATATCTCCATAACAATTCGTACGTTACAATGTCAGACCTCCGTATAAAATTTATACATTATTCCCGGTTGTCGAACTATTGCGGAATTCCGGTAGTCAAAGTGAACAGCCATAGTGCAATGGAAAAACACATTTCGTCAAGTAACCTTGCCCCAAGCCTACATATAGATCTCGCTGATATATAGGGGTTCTAATTGTAATACGAAAATATAATCAATAGCAGAGCATCCAGAAAAGTGTGGTGAGGTCAGATAAAGATATGGTAACTGAAAACAACAGTATTCTTATTACTAAAGAGGCGCTTCTTCAAGACCACAGTCTTGCACAGGGGTATACAAGACCAAAAACAAGTTTATCCCAAAACAAGCGTTTCACTCCATGCCAATTGCTAACAGATGACGCACCATTGCAAAGCAAAAAATAAAAAATCGTTTAACATGCTTCGCCCAGCATCAATCTTATACTTCTAGCAGTCTTGTTTGCTACTCAAGATGAAGTTGCACTCCCTCGAAACCAAGGCGCGTCTCTGGTGATCAACCCACGCCTCCTGGTCGCAATCGCAGTGGATACAAGTCTTATGGCAGGTATAATCTCCCTCATCTATCTTGTAATTAGCAAACATACATAAACTTCATACTTTCCTACGCGAGGAAAGAACGACGAACAAACTTACAGTGACACAGCATTCCCGAGCCGGGACAGTACTTGGCCGAGGCCGCTCCCAGAGTGAGGAGAAGAGCAAGAACAGAAACAGCCTTCATGATTGAATTTTTCGGGATTCGGGATTTTCCAAGGTTTTCGGGTAATAGTGTTGTTTGGATAGTGACAGGGTAGAGAGAGTTTGGTGTTCCGGTGAAGTTGCAAGCTCCAGTAGGAAAAAATAGTACTTGTTATATACTCATGGAAAACGAAGCCAAGAAACTAAGAAGAAGAAAAAGCCAAATGGATCAACATTTCTTGTTTGGCGGTTTATGAAGCGCCAATTTCGATAAGCAGTTCGAGCATTGTGCTTATGTTTCCGGCTTTTACTGACTCACTATAGGTAACGGTTGTTGTTGTAGACGGCATACTTGCCATATACTCGCAATACGACGGGTTATTGGCTGAGAACGACCGAGATCGGATATTAGGCGGTTTTTTTCTACTTGGCTTTAACCGCTATCTTTTTTATACTCCTATTTCCTTTGAGTTTTTTTTCTTCTTTCGGCGAAGATTTTGAGGGTGTTAAGGGCGGTGATGGGGATCGTATGACAGTGCGGGATTTTGGGGGAATGAGGGAAACTTGAGGTCTGATATGGCGGGGAAGCGCTGCGAGATATGATTGTGAAAAAAAAGTGATATGTACGAGTTAGGCGAGTATAACCGTTGAAGTGATTTAGAGAGCGCGTGGCATCGCATGTTGTTTGAAAGGCCAACTCATGCATTGCAAAATCTTCAAGAGCTTTTTTGGTAGTATCCTTGACTTCAGTCTCTTTGGAGAAAAGACCAGCATAGCACATGACTACACGCCCATGAGCCATGAAAATGCAACGTACTTGGCAATTAGAAACTTGATCGATTAGTATACATTACGCAGCCCATCTGCATCTAAAGTACCACTGTCTTATGAAAACAATATGAATTCCACATGCTACACACCCATACCTAACACAACAGTCCATTAAACTACCAATTCCAAAGTCCAAATAACCACCACTCCACCAGCAAGAAAAAAAAGAGTCTAGAAACTCCCTCACAGCCCATAAAGTCCTACCACGCAACACCAAGACCATCCACACCCCCAAACCCACCATGAATTAGCAGCCCTCTACCCCAACCCCTCCCCCATTCTCCGCGTAAAAAAAACAACTCCTCACCCTCTCAATCCCAAAGTCCCGCCATCATCATCTCAAACTCCCCCAAGCGCACGACCCCAAATAACCCGTCCAAGCTTCGCAAAAACTAACAGGATGAAATACGAACCCCCCCGCCGAAACAGGGCCGTTTGCCCCAAAACCTACACCGCACCAGCCGCATCACATTTACATTGATAATTTTCTAGCCAGTGGGCAAACGAAAATTCATGCGTGATGTCGATTCTCTGGTACGGTCGTGTAAGTCTGGCAAAAGGGGTGCTGAAGAAACAGTAGTTCCTGGAATTTATTTGTGATGGATAGAAACTAGGTAAACAAGTATACAAAGTTTGATCATATGGCTAGATTTGCTCAGCTACCTGGTCATCCATATCACATACTCGATGGCACAAGAACACAACATTACATTTTTCCCTTCCCACCATCAACCTCCATCTACCTCGCACTCCTCACCCAGCCCACAACACCAACACTATATCCGACCAACCCACCTACTCTCTCCCTCTCGCCCTTCGCCTCTTCCTGCCACTTCCTCAGCAATCCTACTGCCTCCTCATCTAATACCACAACATCACCGTGTAGCCTTAGGAAAACGCTCATCCAAGCCTGCACAAGCTCGTAATCGCGGCGCTGCTCCAGTCGCGCAGTAAGGGCCTTGATAAAAGTACGTAGTTCAGTGTACGGCTCCGTTGTGTCGAGGGTGCGGATGGCGATGTCGGCTGCGGAAGGAGGGAGGGAGGATAAGTGGGATAGGAGGGGGGTGTAGTCGCCTGTTTCTGTGGCGTGGGCGAGGTGCCGGCTGAATGTATCGGTAGCTGTAGCAGCGCTGGAGCGCGATGCGAGCGCTGAGCTGGAGATGCGGGATTTGGTGTCTTGAGGTTCAGTGGATGCGGTGAGGATGTTGCTGTTGTTGTCGTCTACGCCTTGGATCTGGTTCTGGCCAACAGAAGGTAGGAAGAACGGTGCTTTTTCGGGCGCTTTGGGGGCTTCTTTCGGTTTGTTGCGGGCACGGATGACGTCGAGGTGGAGTAGGGTTTGCCAGCGTGACTTGGGGACTAGACTGAGAGTCGTGATGTTGTCGCTGAGTTGATCCATGACGGGGACGGTGATTTCGTCTTCGTCCTCGTCGCCTGCCTGTTCTTCGGTTGCGGCTTCCACAACGGCAACACCGCCTTCACCAGATGCTGTAGGTGCACTGACTGAGACGATGTCGTCCTCAGTAATCTGGCGCGTCGAAACGTGCGTGAAGAGCGTTCGGTTGGTCCAGATGTGCACGCCGACCTCGCCATCTAGACCCGTGGCGAGGAACTCACCGGAAGGTGAGAAAGCCACTGTGTTACACTTCCTAGAAAGCTTCATTGCATCAATCATATGGCCAGTTGGTAGATCCCAGACCCTGACAGTGGAATCGGAAGCTGCAGAGATGATCCATCGCCCATCACTCGAGAAAGTGTAGTCGAGTGTTTGCAATCCGGTCTGGGAGCGAGAAGCCCAGAGCTCTCGAATGAGCTTCTTGGTAGTGATGTCGACAACACGGATAGAGCCATCGTCACAGCTCAATGCTATCAGGTCACTGTTGCGGTGATAGCGCATACCGAGTATCTTCGTCATAGGATACCAGTCAATCTCGTGAAGTAGGATACCCGTAGCAAAGTCCCAAAACTGGTCATGTTAGTGTTGTCACAGCTGGAAAGAGTATCTCCACTTACCTTGACTTTGCCATCGTCCGAGCAACTTATAAGCGTACGGTTCAGGGCATCTACAGCAAGGCCAGTGATGGCGCCTTTATGTTTGCCTTCTCCTTTGACAAACTTGCGTGGGGAGTCGTCTCCACCACCGAGAGCTTCTTCAGCCTCGAGTTGCAGCAGTTTG